GGAAAATTAGACTAACTCGGAAATCAGAAAAGCTGGAAAGTTGAAATTTTAACGGAATATCTCTTGTCCAAGTACAACTTAAAGATTTCAAATTCTGCCCCGTACGATAAGCTTGTCGTTTTTTGGCTTCGTCAACAACATGCTACACTTTGGCGGGAAAATTGTTAACTCGGAAATCAGAAAAGCTGGAAAGTTGAAATTTTAACGGAATGTTCCCTGTTCAAGTACAACTTAAAGATTTCAAATTCAGCCCCCAAATTCAGCCCCGTACGATAAGCTTGTCGTTTTTTGGCTTCGTCGACAATATGCTGCATTTTGGCGGGAAAATTAGACTAACTCGGAAATCAGAAAAGCTGGAAAGTTGAAATTTTAACGGAATGTTCCTTGTCCAAGTGCAACTTAAAGATTTCAAATTCAACCCCCAAATTCAGCCCCGTACGACAAGCTTGTCGTTTATGGAGACAAGTTATGCTCAAGGGTCAATAGTAGAAGTTTGTGAGGAGGAAGGGGGCACTGGGCCCCGTTTACAGAAGTATTTGGATTTTTGATTTGGGCAGAAATAAAACTTTATGACAGTCTCATATCATTATTTATCAAGATATTTAAGAAAAAATTTTCAGTTATTATACGGTTTTATGTACAATCCCATAGCCTTCGTGAAATTATTTCACAAAACTCTAGGCTGGAACGCACTAGGCTTGCCGATGTGATTATGTGTTTTTGTAGTAAACCTGAAGCAATCCAGTGGTTAACTGTGTATGAATGTTTGTTGCTTTACACTAACCTTGTGGCGCTCATTAGCGTAAATCATCTTAAATTTTGCATTTTGAGAAAAATGAACATTTTCCTTTGAGTGGTCATTTTTTGAAAATGAACTAGCTGTTCATTGAGCAGTTTCCCCACCAAAACTTTTAAGTGTCTTTGCGGGGCTGAATCTGGTGGCTGAATTTGAAATATTCAAGTTGTACTTGGACAGGGAACATTCCGTTAAATCTTTAGCTTCCCCGCTTTTCTGATTTTCGAGTTAACGTTTTTCTCGCCGAAAATCTTCACATGCCTGTGCGTGAGAACCACGCACTGCTTGGGATTAAGTTTGAAAACTTTAAGTTACAACGTGAATTAGGAACATCCCCTTAAAATTTCAGTCCTCCAGCTTTCCTGATTCCCGAGTTAGCAGTTTTCCTACCAAGAATTTTTCATGCTCGTATACGGGGCTCACGCGTGCATGAGAGCTGGTATCGCCGTTCTGGGGTAACTCATGACCGGGGAACCCACCGGCAAAATTCCAGTGCTGAAGCTTACTTGGTTGCCGGATTCAAATACCCGGACAGACAGACAGACACAGACACACACACACACAGATACACACACATGTACACACGCACACACACAGATGTCATGAATAGTCACAGTATGCGTTTTTGCATTTGCATATATGCATAATTAGTCTGCCATCGTGTGAAATTTGCATATTGAAAACTAAAAAGCATTTCCATATATAAGCTGCAAGAAATGCATTGCTAGTTATTGTGTGCGCTTGAGCTTGTGCGTGATGAGGCATCGTTTAGCACGTATGGCAACGAGACGGGGTTCGCGTAAATTTAATCGTTCTGCAGCAGGTGGATTGGTTGTTTGACTTTTTTGAAAAAATTTTCTGATGGAAAAATGCGGTCAGCGGCGGAATTGGGGGGAGGGGAGGGCTAGGGCATCTCTCTTTTTTTTTTCAAATTTTCAGGGGGGATTATGCTTTCAGGCATGTTAGGGGGTGGCCTGAACGGCGGGGGCATGATGGATGAGGAGATGCGTCGATTCCCGCCGCATCGCGAGCGTGAGCCACATCACTATGAGAATGGCATGGGCGAGCCCCACATTGGTGGTGGTGGTGGCCGCGATGCGGATGACTATGGTGGTGGTGGTGGTGTTGGCATCGGCGGGCATGGCGAAGGTCAGAAACATCAGGGAGACGATTTTGGTTATTTTTTCTAAAGCACAACACTCGGGGTCGGGAAGGGGAAATTTTTGAATTTTTTTTTCTTTTTTTTTTGTAATTTTACTTCACATTATTGAGGGGTCCAACATCTGGTCTGGTGTTGTTTATCTCGGTGTGTCCAGGAATGGTGCCGGGCTGACAAGAATTCCTGCACCGGAGAGTCTTGAAAACGTTGAGCAGGAAAAAGGCATCACAAAATGGAATTTGTATTATTATGCGTTAGTTGCCAGTGCAAAATGTGATGTAAATTTTGCAATATTCATAAAATACACAGGCGAGAATTAAAAAAAAAGAAATTAGAAACAGCGAAAATTAAAAAAAAAATTAGAAGCAGCGAAAATTACTATCGCTTTGTTGGTTCCTGGATGTTTAGGAAGAGAATTACACCGAATGAGATTATGTGAATTTGATTTGAAAGCTATCAGGAATTTGACCGCGTTAACGGAAATGACCAATCTATGCGCAATTCATATATGATCGGCTCATGTCGGACACTCAAAAGTGCTGTCGACGTGTTTCTAGGACACTATTTTTGGGAGTAAAAACTATCGGCGACATTATATATTAACCATTAATTGCTTTTGGCAACGTGCCAACTCACAAATTATGCAAGGATTTTAAGATTTTTTTTTGAAAAATCAGATAGAATGGGGGCTGATACGGTATTGAAATGACCGGATATGTAAAAGTGGCGATGACAGAACGTTTTTGAAACATTAAAAAATGCGAAAATTTGCAACAAGCCAAATGCTTTATAAATGTATAAAAATTGGTGTGATGATTCAGCGCTTTAATTTCGTGTAAAAATTGATTTTTTGCAAAATTATAGCCATAGAGTGGAGGATTTCTTGTAAATTAAGTCTAGGATCCTGGCGACACCTCACGGAATTTACCAGATACGGGGCAGTATTGTCTCTGGTAGTAGGCTTCTTGCTGAATGATTCGCAGTTCTAATACTCAAAAAGTTACTTCAGACAATTATCAACCTGGACATGATCATGGAGATTTCCGTGGTGGTGATGAATTTCGAGGAGATGATTACCGCGGTGGCGATGAATATCACGGCGATGATTTTCGCGGTGCTTATCGTGGACGTGGTGGATTTCGTGGTGCCAGCGGTGGTGGTGTATCACCATATGGTGGATATGGACCACAAAATATGGGCTGGCGTGCACGCGGTCCTGGAAATTGGCGTGGTGGCCGAGGTGCATTTGGCGGCCCGCCAAGAGCCCCCTATGGAAGTGGCGATGTTGACGATGCGCATGGATTTGATCGACCACGAGGTGAGCATGGGCTAACAACAATCAGCAAGGGAGTTTTGAGCTCCTTAATTTAACGCATCTGCCAAAATTATCAAAAAATTCCTCCACGTACTTTCCATTCATAAAAAAAGTTGAGCAAGAAGTAGTAAAAACGCATAATTCAAAGTATCTGAAAGGCAAAAGCGTTTGGAAGTAAAACAAATGCCAAAGGCAGTAGTGCTTCTGCCAACGCTACCGTTGACCCTTCATTCTAGGGGCTCGAATACTGTAATGAAATACTGTAATTATTACGGTAGCTGAATACTGTAGTCGCATAATCTGTCTTTTACCGTACCACAAAACGTTCTGCAACCAGCAGCAGCTTTTCGACATGTGATATCGAGAGATCGTGGCGCATTCATACATCAGTTGAAATACGATGAACACTCGCTGCTATCAGTAAAAAATGAGTCATTTTGCAAACTGTTGCAAAAATTCAGCGAATCGATGAAACCTTAGCACTGGACAGTGACAAGATATTTTTATAGTTTATAATGGTACAACTTCAACTCTACAAGGAGATATTAGAGCAAAAAACGTGGAGTGGCAGATTGGCAGGTCGTTAGTTTTAATAGACATTAACTGAGCCGCTCGAAGAAAAAATTAATACTTGCACTTAATTTTGTATATTTTAAGAAGTTACGGAAAAGGTTGTAACTAAAAAGAAAATAATAATCAATTCAGTCAAATGATCTGCAGAGATCCGTAAAGCATATCGTTAATTGTTCTGTAAAATTCCCAAGCCTGAATTTTCAAATTTTCTTTTTTTTGGTGAAGAAATTTGCCTGCCGCAAAAAAAAAGGATCCGTAGATCCAGTGTTTACAATACGAAATCTTCGATAATGTTCCAGAAATCTAAAGTTTCCTCCCATGATCGGCAATGGATTGACGCAGC